AGGAAACTGGGGTACACGCCTTGCTTTATTAGTGTGTTGGGAAGGCCACTGACAACCTTCATCTTTGAAACTCTGTGGGATGTAAGAAGTGACACTGAAGTGTGAAGAGTGCCCCTAGAAAAATGATTGCACAAGATAAATGAATTCTCTGTTAACATCCAACTGGAATCAGCCATTAGATGCTCAGAGTCTCATTTAATGCCTTGCTTGTTAGAAATGTGGTAGGTACATCTTACCTTTCCTCTCTCTTCAGCCTTCCCTTCCTCACAAAATAAAGAGGTGTGCTAATCTTCTTGAACACGAGGTGGCAGGATTGAGCTCCACTTTAAAGGCAACGAACATAAATCTCTGCTTGAAAAAGGTAAGGGGAAATCAATTCATTACTCAGCAATACAAAATGAGTTACGATTAAGAAGGTAGATAAAACTCTAAGCAAGTAGAACACTGCACATAACAAAAGCTGGGCTAGGACACTTAGAGCATACCTTGAGACAGGTGGTAATTCTGAAAAGAGCTGTGTGGAAGCGACTTTTGTTATTGAGGGAAAGGATGTGGGAGACTGAGAAAGAAGGAAAAGTCCACCTCAGCATAGTTACTAACGTAGCAGACGTTGGAGATTTAAGCTTATATGTGTGCTGTGAGTCATAGTGCAGCTGTGTCCCTCTGATCATGGTTCAGTATGAATGCATGAAAATCTTAATGTGGGAAGTTGCAATGGAATCAGCATGAAAGTCTGGTAAGCAAAAAGCTACTGATAAAATCTAGAATTCCTAGAATTAGTCTACGCTTCCCCTCCTCTAACTGCTCAGAATTTCCAGGCAGCAAGAAAAATGCAGGAAGGATGCAAAGCCTCTGTTGCAGCTTTGGTGCTGACATGTAAGGCTGGTCCTTTTGAGTGCATGCCTTTGAATAAGGATAGGACACTCTGGCACAAGCTTTCATCATGCTCTCACCTTTCCCTAGCCTCCATAGCATAGTTCCTTATACCCCCAGCTGAATAACAACACTCTTGCAGAGATTCTTTGAATTCTCAGACCTTGTCTTTTTGCTCCAATCCATCATGCTGCACCTTTCCACATACTTACTGTAATTTCTGTTCTATGATACACGAAGATGCTTTATGTATGATATATAATTTCAAGTTTCAAGTAATTTCAAGAAAACACTTTGATTATTCAGCAAATTCATAACACGTTCTCATAACTTCATTTGCACTAGTAAAAAATGGACAAAGAAATGCTTACTGCAAGGGAAAAGTACACCTGCAAGGTTGTTAATTTGTTTTTAACTAAGTGACAAATTTGACTCTGACTCACCTGATGTGGGGAGGTGCTCACCTCCTGCCCCTCAACAGGCTTGGTGCTTGAGATCCTTGCATTCTTTGAGGTGACCCATTCGTCATACTAGCAATACAGAAGTTTTTGTAATGTCTGGCACAAATCTTCTTGGCTGTAAATCAAGCCCACTATTCCTTGTCCTATCCAGCAGACAAGGGAAAAATTTTTCACCTATCTCCTGCAGAACACTTTGCGTATTTCAGGAGTGTTATGGCACCTCCCTTCAAACTCCTGAGCACCGAACAAAACTGCTCTTTCAATCCTAACGCAGACTTTGTATTTTCTAGGCCTCTGATCACACTCTGTTGCTGTGTCACATTTTTAGGGCTTTGCTCTAGTTTTACCACCTTTGGAATGATGTGCGCTCTCGTGGCACTCCCAGAAAGCTCCTTTTCTCTGGTGGTTTGGTTGTGGTTGTCCTTTAGGTAACAGCTCATAGGCAGTAGTTGAACAAAGCCTTATTCTGTGAGAAAAAGCATAGAAGAATTGTGCTATTTTTATAGACAAATGCATTCATGTAGAAATAGTAATATTTTATCATACGTTCTTTGTGCCACTTGTAACACTGAATCGAATGGACTCCAGGCTCACAGCCATGCCCATGGAGGAGTATCCCTTTCCCCTGCTCTGCAGGACAGCTATGTGGTTCCAGGTGGAACACTCCCTTCATTTCACACATGTTGTGGGCGTCTTTTCTTATCTTCCTCCACCCCAGCAATCCATGTCATTAAGCTCTACATGTAGAGATGGTGGTGCTGTGAGCCCCAACCCTTCTACAAAAGGACTGCCATGTGCCCCAGCAATGCTTTTATGGAAAATCCAAGCCATCATCTATAACAGATGCTAATGCTGCTTTCAAATGCATGCTCCAGAGTCATTTAATATGGACTCACAGCTCATCAAATTCCAGATCTTATCTGTAGAGCTTCATTCTTCCAACACCACTGATCCATTGGATTACTGGATCCAAATGTGTGGCTCCACATAAAATTTTGACAGTTCTCAATTTTCTGAAAACAAACTTATGCCCATGAAATAGTAAAGTCCAGTATGAGCGCACACAAAATCAGGAAAATTGAAGCTTGTTGTCATGAAGTCATTAGGGATATTACCATGAGCATTTATTGCCTTTAAGAGCTGATCCTGTGTTCACCGAGAGGAAATCAGGCATAGACCTGGAAGCAGATTTCTCCACAGAACAGTATTTCACATTCTGCAGTGGTTTCCAAAATATGGAAGCTAAACTGCATTAGAGACATTTCCCCAGCTTTTTTTGTAAATAGCATCATATTGCCATTTGTGCTATTAATCTTCCAGTCTCTCTTCTTCTCTTTAAACACTTTCATCCAAATACTTTAAAAATCCCAACCAATACTACATCTAGAACATTGTCCTATGATTTTTTTTTATCTTACTTGCTATATTTCTAAGAACATTTCCATTTAGAAAAAAATATCCTAATTTAAAATAATTAGTGCCCCCTCCTCCCATTTTTTTTCCAGAGTTGTGTTACCTACAGACAAAATATCTTGTGCTTGAATAATACTTTTATGATTTTTTCGCATTGCTGCACTATGCTGCTTTATGTGGGTTTAGGACATTCTTACTGCTTGGGACTATCTGAACCCCTCTTGTGTTTTATTTTGAAATGGCAGACTGCTGGACCTGACAGGAATGATTTGTATTCTGAGTAGAAGACCTGTACACATGTAACCATTTTATTCAGATTTCTAATAGATTTGACGTAAATATGGTAACCTGATTGACACTATTTTAATTTACATATCTTTTTCCAGTCTTTACTCATTGCCCTATACAGAAGCATGAATCAGAGTTCCGGCGAGGTATGTCTGCAGCTGTGTTAGCAGGATGTTCTTTGAAAGCAGAACAGCCCTGACGGTGACTGTGTCAGGCCTATGAATGTACCCAGCAAGAACTGTATTTTTCCGTAGCCTGAGAAATGCAAATAGAACAGAGTGTTCAGTCAATTAATATGTGACATGTCAAATTGATTCCCGAGCACTTCCTAAACAGCACAGTGACAACTTGTTCTGTATCATCGTAGTGAAAATTCTGTGACCATTCTTTCTTTAACTCAGAGGTGGAACCCTGATCTACTCATTTCAAAATACACAGCCCTAGCAATTCAGTAAGAAAGGGCCATCACCATCTTTGAATATAATGGCATGTAGGCAAGCAAGCAGTCTGCCAACCAATGAGGCAGTGACTGCCCGGCATTTATCAGGACACGGGGAACAGTGACTCGGAAACGACAGAACAGCAACACTGCGATCCCCAGTTTCCCCGACCGCTCGCTCGTTGAATCTGCAAACACATGACACGCGTGTAGATCAGATGTGTACCCAATGATAACCCCCAGCTCTAGGAGCCCCCATAGCCGGGCGCCGCACGGGCCGGGAGGGAGCGGGTGTAAACGACGGCCGGCGCCGATTGTCGCCGGTGCCGCGGAGCTCCGCGGGGCGGCGGCCGCGGGCGCGGTGTATGGCGGCGGCGGGACGCGCGGTGGCGCCTGCGGTGCGCGCAGCTCCGGCCACTGCGGCGGGATCCGGGCGCAAAAATCGCTGCGGAAAATCCGCACCCTGAGAGGGGAGGGGGGGGAGAGGAACATGGGGACGTTTGTGGGGGAGAACGAGAACCAGACTGCTGAGCTGCCGAGGGATGAACAGGGCGTTCCGGGGAAAGAGAAAGGCCGCTCATCTGCCGCCTCCCAGGGCTCTTAAGGCATCCTCATTTAGCGCCCTGAAGCCAGGGGTGCCGTCGCCCCCGCCCCGGCAGCTGCCCGCTGCCTCCCGGCAAAGTGTTCCCACTCCGCTCCAGCGTCCGCACCTGCGGCGGGGCGGTCCCACATATCCCAGGGGTGCGTGAGTGTGCATGAGTATGTGTGTGAGCGAGTGTGGCTGTACACGCGAGTGAGCGAAGGCTTCGGATCAGACTGCCTATTGGTATCTCTCTCTTCGGCACCCTCCCTCCTATCCTCCTCCCTCCTCCCTCCCTAGTTGCTTTTGTTCCCTTTTTTTTTTTTTTTTTTTTTTTTTTTTTTTTGGATTTCAGATTTCAGGCTCATTTTGTGGAGTTTCTGCCCCTCTCTGCGTCAGCTCCACGTCACTTTGCCGGCAGCTCCCCGGCTTGGGCTGGGAGCAGGAGCTAGGGCTGCTTTATTATCAGCTGGAGGGAGGAGGAGACGGTGCGTGAAGCGGCGAGCTCGGAACCCCGAGCCTCGCCGCCGCCGAGGGCTGCGCCCTCCCTCCCCGCCCGCCTCTCTCTCGCGGGCAGCGATACCCGAGCCCCCGCAGGTAGGAGCGCAGCCTCCACCACCTGCCCCGACCGCTCCACTCGGAGCGTTTTGCAGCATCATCGGGAGCCGCCGCGGGGGCAGGCGGCGCCGCTGCCCGCCCGCGGGGCCGGGGCAGGTGTCACGCCGAGTCCCGCTCGCTCGAGTCCCGCCGCTCCGCAGCCCCGGGCAGGCACCGCGGCGGGGCGGCTGCGGCTGCGGCGCGGCGCGCCCATGTGAGCCCCGGCCACGGAGTGCTGGCCCGCGGCGCAGAAGGCTGCGCACCCTCCCTCCGGGCGTGTGCCCCGACAGCGGCGGCGGCGGCAGCAGCGGGAGGAGGCAGTCGGGCAGCGCTGGAGTAAGCGGGAGGCATGGTGTCCTGGCGGCGGAGGCCGGGTCCCGGCCTTGCGCGGCTGTGGGGCTTGTGCTGCCTGGTGCTGGGCTGCTGGCGGGGCGCGCTAGGCTGCCCCGCGTCCTGTCGCTGCAGTTCCTGGCGGATCTGGTGCTCGGAGCCAGTGCCGGGCATCGCCTCCTTCCCCGTGCCGCAGCAGAGCGCCGAGGATGACAATGTCACCGAGATGTGAGTACGGGCCGGCCTCGGCTCCAGTCCGGGCGCGGCGGGCGGAGGGCAACTTCCCCGCGCGGAGGTGCACTTGTTCCGCGGGCAGCCGCGGTGGCTGGGAGCCCGAAAGCCCGCTGTGATTTAATTGCACTCGACTTGCCAGCGATTCCCTTGCGAGCCCACTGGGATGATAAATCCCCATTGCCGCGATGCGGTTCCCCGCGAGCGGGACGGGAGGTGGGTGCGGAGTCGCTGCCGGCCGCGGAGCAGCGCGGAGCGGGGTGGGAGCCCGGTGTTGCCTCCAGTCCTGATCGACCCCGGGGCGAGCGCAGCCCCCAGCGCACCTCTGCAGCGGACCCGGAGAAGGTCTTAAGTTATTGATTTATTTTACTTTCGCGCCCCCAGTTTAATCCTGTGAGCTTTAGTGGGATTTCACCCTCTTCACTGTCTCTTCACTTGTACCTTATTTCTGTTAGGGGAAAAAAAAAAAATAAAAAAGAAAGGGAAGGGATGCGGCATATTCTGAGAAAGAGCAGCCGCAAACTGTCTCCCCTCCCAGAGCCATAGGAGTGCGAGCCTTCTTTGCCCTTCTCAGTAAGTTGGCCCCTAGCCTGCAGGGGAACGAGCCCGGTGCTTTCTTAGCAAGTGATGGAGGATTAGGAAATCCATTAATAGTGAGCAAAAAGTTTTTTCTGTCTCAACCTGTGTGTGACTTCCATCTCTGTTTGCCAGCAGCTGATTCTGGTAAGGGAGTTGTATAGCAATTCCTGCTCAATCCTGCATCCTCTGACAGCCTGGCACTGAGGGTCATCTGCATGCCTTAGCTGAGAAAAGGCACAAGGACACTTGCTGAACAAAAATGTTGGACACGGGGGTGCAGATGACAGACCTGGGGGGAAAGACTTCTAAATTTGCTTTTTCCATCTCTTTCTTCCCTGGGCCCTGTTGTTTCCAGATTTTTTCACAAAAATTCACAAACGTTTTTTCACGTGACAATTTTATTGTAAAAGCTTCTGGAATATTTTTCCCTAAATCCGTACAGATTTCTCGCAGTTTCATTTCTACTTCCTTCTCCTCTTTCTCAGATTTCTTTAGAACCAACACAAAAATGACACAAAGTGTCGTGTGACATTAGATTAATTCAATAGCCTTTGGGCTACCTTTCTGCAGATTTTGGTAGTCTGTTTGCTGCATTTCCCAGAGAGTTTAGGGGAAAAAATGGGGGCTTTCATCCCTGCTGTTCCTCTGTAGCCTATCTTTAGTAGATTTTAGGAGCTACAATATTTCCAAGTTCTTACAGCAGTTATTGTTTCAGATGTTTGCTTAATATTCAGTGGATTACTTTTTTAAAAAAGATTGCTTCAAACTATGAATCACCGCTCATTTTCATAGGCTTTCCTAGGCTTATTACTTCATAATTCCTATTTGGAGGCAATGCAGCAATTTCCCCCTAGAATTTAAAATCTATTTAAAAGGCCAGGGAAAGAAATGCGTACATAAATTTGTACTCCATCCATGACCAGCTTGAAACATGTCTAGTCATTTTGCACTGGTGCTTCTTGCTTTTATTGTGCCCTGTGTTTTTTTCAGCATTGCTGTCTTTACAGTTCTGCTCAGTTTTTACTGTATCATTCTGTGACATTGCATGTTGTCGTGTTTGGTGATCCAAAAATAATTTTGACTCACGGATTTCTCAGGAGATGCTGTGGCACGTATTTAAGACCGTCTTTCCCAGAGTACTTTTAACATAGAACGTGAAGGCTCTTCGATGACTTTGTTGACATAAAAGTTGGTCTGCAATGGCCATCATATTATTTTGTGAGAATGTAGTGAACAGTAAATATGTGAGAAAGTGGTTCTTATATGGTAGATGCAGATTGTGAAAACATCTTTTTAACACTGCATACCCTGCTTTATTCTAGCTAAGAAACTAATAGACTGAAGCATTACATTTTACTTACAAAGCATGAGACCTGATTTTACTTTTTTTGTGCTCTGTAGATACAAGAGCACAATTCTGTTCATCTCCGGTGGAATTACTTTTGGTATGAATAAGAGTGAGAAGAGCATAAGACTATTTCTGGTAATTTGTCCCCATCTATTTCCCACATGCCTGTTGAGACCAATCCTCCTTTTATCCCTTATGCCTTCCTCTCGACTGGAGTGGATCTGGCAATCTTAGGCAAGGCGTCCACTGACTGCTTAAAGTCCCACACCTAGGCTACGTACTCTGGGGTTTGGCAAGAACCATATGGTTCAGGTGGACACATAACCCTGTGGTGGTGCAGAGGGCTGGCTGCTGAGCTGGAAGGATGCGAGGGGCAGCACGGTGTCCCCTTGGCCTTGGGAGCTGGAAGAGAGATGGGGTGGTGATGGTAGGAACAGCAGACCCACAGTGCTGTGTGCCCATACTGCCCTGTGCATGGAGCTTCGTCTCTGTAGTGGCCCACAGGCAAATGGCAGGTTAAAGCCCAATGAACCCACTCCTACCAGTCCAAGTGTAACTGTATTCCTGCTTGGATCTGCGTCTAAACATACAGAAATCAGCAGAAAGACCTCTAGAGCACTTCTGCATCAGCCATGTGAAGCCCGACTGCTGCAACTCAGTGTAGGAGGGCATAGGAGAATTTCTGCCTGGTGCTTTTCTTAGTCATCTTTCTCACTCTTTCCCTTCCTTGTTGTTTTGCAAGTTTTCTAATTCTGAGGAATAAGAGACAGACTCTGGAAATGCTCTGCCTCTCATAAGGTTTTGGATTTGTTTGTTAGAATGCTGACATGGGCTGGTCTTGATCTGGAAAGCATATGCCAGTGCTAAAACTGCTCATCAAAACGGAGCTCAATCATAATAATTGTTTGGTAGCGCTGATACTACTGGAGATAAATGGTACTCCAAAGTGAAGCCCTACATTAAAACAGTGATATCAGTCACTGAAGCTCATGCTAAGAGCTGAGGAACAAGAGTGGTGAGAGCAAAACAAGTGTATGAGCATTGTTAAATCCAGGCACTACAGCAGATAAGTAGTCCTCACTGAGATCACTGGAGCAAGAATATTAGTAGGGAGTAAATTACTAGCATCAAAAGTGTTCAAGACTTTTTGTGGAAGGATCAGTCTGATACTTTCTCATTAAGAAGTGTGTATTGTTAGTATATGTCAGCAAGTGTGACAGTTCATAGATCTTGATTTCAAAGAAACTCCTTGTGCTGTTAGTGTATTCCTGGCCCAGTTTCTGGTATCAAGTCATTAATACGTTGACTTATGATTATTCAGGTAAATGGAATTTGAAATTAATTGGTGTGTGTCAGGAAGAATTGCTTGCCAGCAAAATAGTAGGTGACTTCTTCATGCTTGCCTAGTAGAAGAGAGAGGTGATTGTGTATTGCGTACGTTTCAAAACCACAAAGTAAATTACTAATGCAGTTATATAAAGCACTCTAGAATTGTTAATAAATAAGACAGGATAAGTAATTTATAGAGTAAATTATTTAACAAGTCACGTGAGCTTGTGCTAAAAAAAAGGCATATTGAAATTCATCTGAAGCTCAGTGCTGTTGGTATTTTGGGTCTCTTTCATTTCAGATTTCTAGACCGTTGTAGATTAAATATAATGTAAAGTTATAAATATAATGTAAATCTAGAAGGTTTCTCATCTCCTAGCCTTTTCTTCCTCAAAGGAACTGTTGGCTCTGCAGTGTTAGGTGGCTTAGCTGGATTGAAAAGCTCTTTCTAGTGGCTTGGAGTTATACAGTAAAATACAAGGCACTGGGCTACAAATTATTAAAGAGGTTTTGGACACTGGTGATATAATAGCTCATTTTAGGAATTTGTCACTTTTTTCTCATCTTTCTTTAAAGTTTTGGGTGATGGGTTAGGGTAAGTTTAAAGTAAGCGTTGTGGAAATCAGTTTTTTAATTTCCAGACTCCAAAAACATTTAAAAGATCATAAATCAAAGGGTTCTGTATATGCTGGCTATTGTTGCTTTCAGGTCGCCTTCTCTATGGCATGTTTTATTCCTTGTCCTTCCGGTTGGTAAGGAGCGATGGGGCTTCTGGGGGCTGGCAGAGGCTCTCTCCAGCAGGCTGAGGCGAGTTGGGTGAGTGCAGCATCCATCAGGAGGTATTCAGCCTTGTGTAGGAGTGGGCTGGCAAAACACTGCCTTTGGTCGCTCGAGTTTTAAGAGATGTTTGAGATTTATACATGAAAATGAAGGCCATTTCTTTGGATTCAAGACTTTACTCTTGAATATGCTGTTTTCAAGAGGCTTGCATTTCCTCCCCTACTAATGGGAAAACAGAGGGCTAGGCAGTCCAGCCTCAGATATGGTTAGGATGGCATTTTCTCTTTTTTTTTTTTTTTTTAATGCTAAGTGAAAGGGGGACAGCAGCATAGCAAGATTCCAGATCTCAAATCATGATAAAATAAAATTTTTTATACAACTAAACAAGAGTCCTATTTCTACATTTTGGATTTTGTTGTCAAATAAGAGGAAAAAAAATCTTTCTGGATTATGCTTCTCTCTCATCCCTGTTTGTCATCTCTCACTGTGGCAGTGTCTAACAACACATTGATGATGGTGGCTAGCAGAATCTCCTTGCCCAAGCTGGATGTGTATAGCAGGTAATGAAAAGTTACAAACGACAAAAAATGAAGCGGGGAACTCTAAAAATCCTAAAAACTCTCTCAATACTTACTGATGCTAAAAGTATATTTAGCTTGTCACATCTCAAAAGCCTCTCTCTGAAAGCTGTCTTTTAAAAAGTGGAGCACTGATTGTATTAATTCACATTATTTCAAGTGGAGAAATAAATTTACAGACGTTTGAAAGCCATATGCCTGAACTGCTCTGTTACTGCACACTGTTTGTGTTTGCTAGGATCTTTTTATAGAAATGCATGTAGGCACAGAGGTGCTATTGAAATCATGTATATTGGGTATGCACTTTAATTCAACTTTTGATAGTGAGCCTATATTTTCAGAAACCACATAAAGCAAATGAAGCTTAAACTCCACTGAAATAT